AGCAGCTCTATTTATCAGCCGAGTGTGGCTCTTGAAGACTGGAGCTAACCTACTGCTGCATTCCTGGGTGAGCACTCACCAAGAGGCAGTGAGGCAGGGAGGCTTTGGGACATCAAAATACCAGTTGAACAGTACTAAGGTTGGGTGTGGTAGGAAGAAGTGTGATTGCTGTATAGAAAGCTCAAGTCACTTCATTTGCTTCCTGACCTGAAGTAAGAATTCCATTAGGCGTTGAATGAGACTGCTTTCAGCTCTGACCCTGTGTGATCTTGGCGAAAGTGCTTTCAGTTCTGTTTCATTTATACTGACATTATCAGGTCCATGTAAATTTTATGAAGTAGCTCCTTGTGGGAAATACTGGTGTAGGTAAGTGGTGTTAGTATCCATCATTCCCAGAATATCTCTGAAGCAAAGAAGTAAAAAAGTAAACACGGTGCTTCAAACAGTAGAAAGACACATCATCTGGGAGGTCATGAATACCCAAGAGGGTCTCAGGACATTTCAGGGACAGAAGCATGAGTTATGAAGACAGCAATAGGTGACACTGAGCATATTTTGTGGAGGGCATCTTCGAACAGTGTGGTGTCTCGCTACAGAATATCAGACTGGCAAGGAGATCAGAATGAAAAGAGCAAGAATTAGAAAAGAGCTATAAAAGGAGAACTTATTGGAATGTTGTATTTCTGAAAATGCACCAAATAACTGGTAATTTTACTCTTTATCCTTCCAGAGAGCTTATGCACTTAGATTTAATTCCTACCTCTACCCACAAGCAAAATACCAAGTGCCCTTAGGCAAAACAGCAGATTATTTTACGTTTAGGAAGTATAATGAAAAATTTTAGAGAAAGTAAAGATGTCCAAACTTCAAAACCAACATCCCTGAATGAACTCTCCTCTTTTGGAGTACAGATTAGACAAACTCTGGTAGGCAGCACCATGCTCACACGTGAAGAAAAATGTAGCAGTCATGTGTGCCACAGAGCAGCCACTTAAGACCTGTCCTCCTTACACACAAAAAAGCAATCAGGGGTCACCAAATGTGTCCATTTGGCTCCTCAAAAGGGCAGACATCATCAGGAAATACAAAGGAGATTAATTTAGTTGGAATTACCTTAGTTGGAGGATAAGGGGAGAGGAAGCAAGACAGGGCAGGGAAGGTCTTCAGCCCATGGTGCAGGGCTGGGGAGGTGAGCAGAAGGATGCAGTGCAGGAAGACTCAGTATTGCTGATGGGGCACCCAGAGCAATGGTCACAGGGAACAGACAAGTCCCAGCACATTTCCACATTTTATTCACTCATGGGAAGCAAACTAGATGACAGTAGTGTTCATGCAGCAAGTTGCAAATGCAAAGCAGGTAAAGGGTGTCAGGCAGATAAATTGGAGAACTAAGAAGCACTGGCATGAACAGTCAAGAAATCATGTATGTGATAGGTTGGATCTGCTTGTCTGTACAAGGGAGATTCCTTTTTGTTTTATCTGTTGGTAGATTGCCTGGGATGCAGGACATGTACTTGTATAATGTTTATTGAATAATATCTGGACTGGGAAAAATTTGTTTTTTAATTATATACTTCCCAAAACACCAGTACCTTTTAGCATGAATACATAATCCTCAACTGAAACTTACAGCTATTACAACAAGACAAGTACAAGAAATAAAATTTATATAAAGTAAACAAATAAAAATGTCTTTGTTCACAAATGGTAGGCTTGTCTATGTAGAAAATCCCAGGCTATGTTAGGTGGCCCACATCTGCAATCGCAGCTACTCTGGAGACTTTGATCACAGATCAGAAGAAAAGTGGTCTGAGGTTGGCCTTGGGCAAAAATGCATAAGATCCTTACCTAAAAAATAACATAAAGGAAAAAAGGACTAGAGGTATAGCTCAAGTGGTCAAGTGCTTGCCTAGCCCTGAGTTCATACTCCAGTACTGCACCTCACCAACAAGAAATAAAAAAAAGAGAATCCCAAAGAATCAATTATAACAAAAAGCTCCTGGAAATAGTTGTGAAATGCAAAGTTAAAACACAAAAGCAAATTGCTTTTCTATATACTAGCAGTAAACAATAGGAATCTGAAATTTAAAAAATACAGTATCATTTGCAATAACACCAGACACAGTTAAAATGTGAGGTATATGCTTAACAAACCTGCACAGGATCTATATGCAGGGAAGTAAAAAACTTCGATGAATAAAATCAAAGCTCTCAATTAATGGAAGGTTAAAATACAAATTTACATTTTTTAACATTTTAAAGGTTATGTTTGAGCAGACAGCAAGTTATGAGTTGGGACACTGCAGATCTGAAATTTTTTGGGGCTCCATCAAAGGTGCACAAGGGAGAATGACCATGACAATAAAGCAAAGAAAGTGCTTGATTAACTAATGGAGCTGTAGCCTTTTGGGGATATGTTCAGTGGAAAGTCTCTACTTACAACTTAGTTGGCAATTTCCAATTTGATAATGTTTTATTTTGCCATTTACACTCAATTAGGTTTCACTTTTTAAATAGAAAATCCAGATCACTGAGCAAAACTGGCACATGAAATGTCACCTTCTGTCACCACCATGGCTGTGCCATCGTTGTTCCAGCAAGGATCCCTCAGGTCACAGCATCAGACGTACTGAAGAAATTGGCAAGAAATGTACCTTTTGCTGTGTATCATGATCATGTTTGTGCTGTAATAACAGTAGAGAGGGCCCTGGGCCTTCAGTTTGGCTGCAGACATGTTCTTTTAGACCCTGGAGTAATAGCGCATTGTAGGGAGAGACCCATTATGAATGTCAAGAGTAGGAGCTCAGCAGCAAATCTGATGAATCTCCTGAAAATTAGGCTAAATGAAAGAAATATATGCCAAAAAGGTCACAAAATGTATGATTTCATTTATATGACATTCTCAATAGGACAAAATTATAAGAAATGGTGAACAAGTTAGAAACACCTGGGTCTGAAAAGGTGAAGATGGAAGGGATAGGGTCTGGCTCTAAAAGAGTAACAAGGAGGAAAACTGTATTGGAAAAGCTTTATATCACGGCAATATCCTGGCAATATCCACACTACAATTATGCAGGATGCTGCTCTTGGGAGAGAGTGGGTCAAAGATGCAAGTATCTCTGTATTATTTTTACAAATGCATGTGAATCTACAATTTTCTCAAATCGAAGTGTGACTAAAAAGTGCCTCTCATGGCAATGTCAGAGATCTCCCAGGTATTAAGTACATTAACCTTGACAAATGGAGAGGAGGGTAAAGCTTGATTTATGACCCAGTGGGAAACCAAAACTGGGGTTTAAATGTGGGAAACATAGTAGATCCTCCCTTACAGTAGATTATTGTCTTAATCTGCTTATGTGCTACAGCAAAATGCTCTAGACCGATTACCTCATAAATAATAGTCACTTATTGCTCACAGTTTTGGGAGGCAAAAAGCGTAAGGGAAGACAAATAACAAATCCTGGAACTCACCAAAAAGCAAATTCAGGAGAGGACACACAGAAGAATCTTTAGCAGAGCACATTTATGCAAACAAAGCTAGACTTTATTAAGCAAAAGTTATTGTAAAGTGATAGCACACACCCAAAGGAAACTGCAGGTAAGCCGTCTGACCAAGCGATCAAGTACCACAAGCCTCTGTCTTAGACAATTTTATGGTTAGGGTTTAATGATTATGCTAATGGCTATGCAAGTGAAAGTATAAACATAACCATATACAGGGAACAGGAAGTGATTTACCTGATAGGGTGTCCTCATAGCCAAGATGGCTTTTTGAGAGAGGTGCATCCATGAAATGATAACTACAGTGAGATGTAAATGAGGCCTCTGGATAACCTCTAAATTTAGGAATGTCCCCATCACAGAAGATTCTGGGGACCATTGGATGATGCACAGTAGTCAATTGTTACTTCAGGACAATGGTGGAGCAGTAACATTGGTACCCAGACATGGTGCCATACCTGTTCCTTAGCTCTTCTTATTACTATTCCCTTTCTTCCTGCCTGCCCCATATCAAGGCTCAAGAAATTTGATATATAGTGAGGACCCTATCCCTACTTCCAAGATGACATCTGTTGCTATGTCCTCAGATGGCAGAAAGGAAGAATAAATGCTGTGTTTTCACATGTGTGAAAGGGGCAAAGTAGCAGCTTCCTTTAACCTTTAAAATTTTTAATCCCCATTCATAAGACTGCAGTCATCTCTTAACAACATTACAATGGGATTTGCATTAAACATGATTTTTAGAGAGACACATTCAGATCATAGCAGTGAAATTAAGGCATTGAGTCAGAAGAGAATTCGACTTCAAGTTCTAAACAGGAGTAGAAAGTGAGTTTGGGAATGAGATACCAGTGGAACTGAGAATCATAGTGATGTTTATAAGCCTATTACCTAGAAATTTAATCTCAGATTTATGTGTATAGGGCAATCCATATGAAATATTTTATTGATCCCAATTAAAGGCATGGAATCAAGATGATAAACAAATGTGTGGCACATAAAGTTTTTGATATCTATCATCTATTACTAATGGAACTATCCATCTACATATTTCCATTTAGTTACTCTTGTCTTCCTTCTTTCCTTCGTTCTTTCCTTTGTTTCTTCCTTCTTTCCTTCCCTTCTTCCTTCCTTCTCTTCCCTCCCTTCCCATCTCTATTCCTCCTTCTCTTACTTCTCCTCCTTTCTATCTTTCTCTTACCTTGATAAGTTGAAGTTCATGGTCTGAGATGAAGTTAGAGTTTATTGATGGTCTTTTGTAATCACTTTTAAGAGAAATATCAGATGGCTTTGTGATAATTACCTTATCTCAAATCTATAGAAAAATAAACCAGGAGAAAGAGGTCATAAAGCTTAGCTGGTCATGTTCTCCCTTCTAAACAAAGCACTTGACACTGATCAAGACCAGTCATTTATTTTTGTTGAAATATCTGCAGAGGTCAGAGTGAAAAGAAGAAGCTAGGACACTCAGTTTCTCTTAGAAGTCTGAGTCTTCAGTCTCAAAGATTATATTCATTCTTCCCACATGGTTGGATTATCACACAGCACTTCAGAGCCTTCTGGCAGAGAGCAACGAATTCTTCATTTTTCCGACAAGAAGGCACGCATCTCCCTTTAAGTTTGTAGCATTTATCATCAAAAAATGCATTCTCGGCTACACAAGGAAAGGAGCCACCTGTATTAATTCATTTTCAAGTGTGTATTTACCTGGTACAGTGGTATAACATAAATGATGATTTCTTTACCATTGTTATAAAAGCTAATCCTGTCAGTAAAAGAAGAGCGCTCTAGTGTGGGGATGACATCTCAGACACTTCTCACTGTAGCAAGGAAGAGTTGGGCTTCCCTTCTTGCTACTCTTGCTTCTCTGTATGGCTTTGCAAAGATGCCTAGGTCATCTGCATTTCAAGTTCTTTGTCTATAAAACATATGTAAAATAGATCCTCCGAACAAAAACTTGCTCTGGATATAATTAAAGGAGCGGCAGGCCAGAATTTTTCTGAAAAGCACTGAATTTATAGAACTAGTGCATTATGTGAAACTTTTGTCACAGTATTCAGCTTTGTAGTCTGTGATTAGCAAAGTGCTATCTCCGTTATGCAACTTTGTCTAATGCCGTGATGAGCACACATAGATCCAACCCTTTCCTCTTCCATTTTCCCTTTACCTTCTTTATTATCACTTTGTTGTATAGCATAAATATATTTTAAAACATGATAGACCCTTTCATTTTTCCATTGCCCATTTGTTGGTTTTGTTAATGAGCATGAGAACAGGAACCAAAAGGCCTCTTTAAGACTCCCCTTAATTTATTCAAAGCTGTCACAACATTTCCTAGAAAACAATGGAAAATGAGGAGAGTTTATAGAAGTGTATTGGAGTAAAGTTGCCACAAACAAGGTGTTTCTCTGCAGGGACACCTGATCAAGGGTGCCTTTGCATTCTATCCTTGATTATACCCCTGTGTTTGCAGGGGAAAACCCACTGTTCAGACCACCACCTCTGATCGCTTTCCCTATCAAGATGTTAGTTTTATTTACCTGGGGCCAGAAAGAAGAGACTAGCAAAGAGGAAGAGTAACTTCTTCATGACCTGGAGAGTTGCGACAGGTAAGCACAATGTCCATCAGAAAAGGGCAGCAGCATCCATATTTATACATTTCTTCAGATGAACAGCGTCTTGATCAGTGAGGCTTGTCAGAAATGAACCTGCTTCCATGCTCTGCTATGTAGAGCCCACAAACGTTGGTGGGTGTCACTCAGTCTACAGTCTGTCATTTTTCTAATTTTGGAAAATTCCCAGGAAAAACTGTGGGCATGAGATGAGAACAGAGATGGAGGACTATGTGTTATATGTTTCATATTGTTTAGTCCCAGATAGTTTTGAGCTTATTGGATATTTTGAAATATTCTCTGTGTGTGTATGTGTGTTTGTATTATTTCAATTATTAAAATGTGTATAGAAACTAAGAATCTTTAGAAATCTAAAATAAAAACAATGCTTTTAAAATTTGTGATCATCCATGAGAAGAAGTAGTCCAGATATTACAGATTCACATCTATTCCAATAAATCTGTTTCTTAATTTGCACTAAGTCAATTATGTAGATGCAGAAAAAGCCACCTGAGTTCTTCTCCTTTGTGACATAGTGGGGAGATGTGCTTCTCTAAGAAAACATGACATTAGGGAGATAAACAACCCTTCTTATCTACTGCTTCTACTACCACCACTACTCCTAGTACAAAAAGTTGGAATATATTCAAAACATTTGTTAAAATGTAAAGCCCTAAAAAACAAATAATTGCTCTTACTGAAATCATAGTTTTCATATAAGTTCTGTATGAGATCTTTAGTTTGTTTCTTCATGTCATGCTGATTTCAATAAATGACTGAATAAAAAAATGTGAGAAAAGGGACAGCTTTAACAGAAGACTTCCAATTGTGTATGTAGATACTTCCCTGCTTCAGAAGATAGAGCTCAGTTCTCCTGTACTTAATGAAAATTGCTTACTTTCCAAGAACAGAATATGTAAAGAGAAAACAAATAACTTTATGATAGAGAAACCTTGCAGACATCATCTTAGGCTTGTGATCAAGGTCAATATGAACTGCGATCATTCCTCTTGAGATCATGTACAACATAATGGATGGTATGTGTATTTGCAGGTGTGTGTGTGTGTGTGTGTGTGTGTGTGCAGTATCATGATTATTAAAACAGTTGTTTTCCTTCTCCTAAATTGCAAACCCCAGTACAATTTTGTGACTCTATCAGGCAAATGTGAATTCTGATTTTAGTTAGTGCTAAGTACCAATATTAATTTCCTGGCTTTGACTAAAGGGTCACAGTTAAATAAGATGTTAACATTAGGAGTATCTAGGGGAAGTCCCTCTGAGAATGTATACTAACATTGTAAGTTTCACCACATCTAAAGTTATTCACAAATTAACATTTCATTTAAAGAAACTGTTAGAGAATACCCCTATATATTCTATGCCTCCATAACCACACTATTTCTGCTAGGCATTTTTATACACATTGATTATATATTATGAATAATACATTTGAAAACAGTAGACTGACAGCATACATTTTCTCACTTCCTTTCTAAACCTAACTTTAAAAAGACATATTTATAAGACAGATTTTCAGACATCTTCACTTATACACTATCTCATTTGTCTAATTTATCTCATCTTATTTACTTATTTACTTTTCTTACAGATTGAGTCTAACTTGCCAGCAAATTAAGGTTGCAAACATAAGAAACTCATAATTGAGCCCTATGGAAAAAAGAACTTTTAAGGCAATGGAATCCCACATTAGTTCCAAGTTTCACGTGATTATTTATCTTAAACTCAAGATGTGTAATATCCTGTCTGAGATGATGAAGAATGTGGCAGGCCCAAGACAGAGTGTGACACAATATATTTTGTTATACTATGGTTGATAAGGTTGTATGAGAGTGGGTGTCCTTCCCAGGAGACCATGGTATGAGGCCACCATCATGAACAAGAAGTGAAGCCAACTCCCAAGGAAGAGGGGGATGAGAGAAGTTTATTTATCTAGATGTTCTGTCAGAAGCAAAGCAGGGAGTCTCTGGGTCAGAAAACCCTGAAGTGCTGTGCTTGAATTACAGCTACAGGGTTTGTCTGGTGCATTATTATTAAATGCTACATGCAGCTTTGTGTGGGGTATGCAAACCAGACAGGCTCTAAGTAGCTCAACATGTGCTACCTTGAGCTATATTTAAACTAACTGGAAATGTAAGAATTTGAGTTTCGAGCCAAGGGTCTCTGAAGTAATGAAGTAAATGCTATAGGAGTCAATAGATAATGGCCATCTTGGGTCCTTTTAAGTAGCTAAGAGGCCTGTGATTTCCTATAATAAGACAAATACATATAGGGCAGTGCTGAGGGAGTCAACCATCATCTTATTTTTCTGAGGTTGGAAGATAACTCCCGATCACAAGCAGCTATTTATTGGGCCTGGTGCAAAACGAAAATGCAAAGTCCCCCACTCAAAAAGCAGAAAAAAGATGTCATTAAAACTATCAAAATGTAAAGTCTTTTAATTTCTCTCCAGTTCTTGCAATATGCCATCATATGTTTACTTGCTATTTACTTTTTCATTCCCTTGGGTGCAAGGATCCTTGACAGATGACAGAAGAATCTCAACAGTGCCCCACTGGGATAACCACTTTGCTCCTGTGTGCCTACACATGTGGTCCATTCTCTGCTGTTATGTTCTCCATCCAGCCTCTGGACCCTTGTGAATTGTCCAAGCCAGAGTCAAGTCAACCTTCCCTCTGTGGTGACTGGGTGATTTCCATGGACATTGCTGCCACTGTTCTGTGAGGTACCATGTCCACCCACATGTTGGTGAAAGGCTTGTTCCTGCCAGGCTGCATGCTTGTACCATTGACCTGGTGACTACAGCAACTTGCCTGAAACACCCAGGGTTCAGGCTGTTAACCTCAACCTTTTACATATCTACTCTCAATTCCATGCAGAATGGACTGTTGCTAGAAAATGATAGAAAGGGGGAGGCCATGTTGAGCTGAAAGTGCCAGGCAGGGGGAGACAGGTGGCTAAGAATCCACCCAATGAGGTAAGTAGGGAAGTAAATCTGGAACATCTGTGATCTGAGGCTCCCAGTTCCCAGCATATGCTGTACTGTCCCATCTGACAACATTTATAAAGCACAAGTCAAAGGAAAGTTATGAAGAATTTCAATAAAGTGATTCAGTGAATTGGGACCCTAATGGGGGGGACAAGGGATCGTACACTTTGGCTATGTGCCTGTGATGTATCCTGCTCTGGGTTGTTAAAATGTCTAATGGCTGAAAAAATCTTAAGTTCAACCCAATATCTTCTATGTATACATGTATTAACTTTGTTTTTCCATTTTTCTCAAAAAACTCTCATTGATATTTTTTATTTTGACACTCCTTTTAAGTATGGAAAAATATTGATCAAATATTAATGATTATCATAGATGCATAACAATTATCTTAGAAAGTGTTTTTCTTTTTTAACTGGGCTTATGAAGCTAAAATATTTGCAAACCACAGGAGAAAAACATCAAAATACCAGCACAAGCACCATTTGTGAGTCAGGAAGGGCTCATGATGCCTTATGGGTTGTTAAAAATGTGTAATGGTTAAAAAATCTTAGGTTCATTCCCCATCCTCTATGTATACATGTGTTAACCTCTTTTATCATGTCTTTTTCTATTTTTTTGAAAAATTATTACTGATATCTTTTTTATTCTGAAACTTCTTTTAAATTTGGAAAATATATTGATCAAAATATTAACAGTTATCATGGATGCTTAACAATTGTTTTAGAATTTTTTTTCTTTCTTCTTTAACCAAGCTTCTGAAACTGAAATCTTTGCAAACCACAGCAAAAAACCATGAAAATTTCAGCACAAGTTCCTTTTATGAGTCAGGAAAGGCTCATGTTGAATTAGTGGTCTCAAAAAAAGTTTACAGAAAAGTTGGCCAAAGATAAGTACAGAGAAATAGGTCTGTGAGAGTATTAATGATTACCAGACACTCCTCTAAGCACTTTGTACCATACACAAGTTAATCCTCTCAAGTACCCTGTTGAGGCAGATGCTATTATTATATTCTTATTTTAAAGATATGGAAACTAACATTTGAAAATTTAAGTAATCCATCTGAAGTCTTCTACTTGGTAAATCTCATTCTCTGATTTCATTGTTCCATTTTCATTTCTTTCTTTGCAGTATGGGGTTTGAACTCTGGGCCTCAGCTTTCAAAGCAGGCAGTCTACCACTTGGGCAACTCCACCAGCCCTACATTTTCTAATTGCTTCATTTTATATCCCAGGATAGAATAGAACATTATATAATTTTGAGTGACAGGTAGCCACAGGCAGGATTTATTTGGGAAGGGATATGATATGAATATTACCTTGGATACTCATATTTCTAATGAATTAGAAGGATGTCTTAATTATGAGTTTGGTCTGTGACATATTTTACAAACATGCAGGGATTCAGAGTAAAGTTGACAAAATATTTGCTACTCCTTCCCTTCCCCTGAAACATTTATAGACAATAAAAATAAAACTGAGGAGAGTAAGCATACACCTTTGTTGAAGTCTTGCAAGGTTACAACAGGCCTATGCCGTCATTCTATATGTTCAAAACACTATTGCATTAGAATTGTATTGAATTGTCATGGACAGACAGGCAGAGCCTGAGTAGTGGTTCTTATTTCTCCCCCAGGAAACTGAAGCTGGAAGGGATGAGGACAATAGCCAGTTCCTCAATTTGGATTATTATGGAAGAACTGTACAGGACTCTTAGTCCTTCATTTTTTGCCAGGTATTCATTCCATAAAACTGGTCAGAGAGTGAGACACCCCAAAATATGAGGCTTTATGGGCGCCAAGGTTATTTTTGGTTATATCTATTCTTGATCCTGGGAAATGGGGCATACAATTGTACTTCATTGATTCACTTCACTGATCAAGAGCATAGGCCATTACTTTCAAATATAAATGAGATTCTTGTCATTTCAAAGAAGTTCTGTACCTTTATTTTGAAAACTCATCCTTCAAAGAT